GCTTTTGTTTGCTCATATTCATCCCTCAGTTCCTCAAGGGAGAAAGCGAGGAAAATGAAGGACTTAAGATCTAAAAAAACATTTAAGAAAGAGAAAAATATGATGCAAAATAAATACAATGATAGCAAACAAGAGAAAAAGGGAATACAACAGAGAAGGGATGCCAGCAAGACAGAGGTTAGAAGAAGGGGGGGTAGGAAGATCTGGTGGGGGAAGAAAGAAAGGGGAAAGGCGGAGAAAAGCCACAAAGTTTTAAAATTGGATGGGAAAAGAGGAATCTTTTTCAGGGATAAAGGGTAAAGTATAAATTTTCTTTAAAAAGATTTTGCAAGGTACATAAGACGGTATTGTAATATTTGTATTAGAAATAGAAAATTAGAATGGCTTAAGAGTTAATAAGAAATTAAAATGTTGAAATGTTTAATAATGATTGATTTTTAAAATGTAATAAAATATTGAAGGGAAAGGCAATGAGAATGCTATAAGATTTATTATTTAGATTTATTATTTAACTACGTATTTAGGAGGATATTATGTATTTAAACATTTCCGATTTATTACTCTGTTTTTATTGTTATTAAAAGTAAAAATTAATAGATAGAATGTACCAAGCAGAATCAGATTGGATATTAGGTGTCATTTTAAATGTTAATCTAATATTTAGGGAGAGGATAGAAAGGCATCATACTCTGATTAGAGATTTCAGGAGAAATTCTTTTTTTTTTTTCATTATAAGGAATGAGATAGAGGGATAATAAAGGATGGGCAAAAGATACAAATATAATGATTTAAATTAAGATGGATTGAATAAGATAGAATTATGAAGAGTGAAATGTGTGGAGAAGTATATATAGAAGATACAGAATGATAAACAAAATAGGTAATGATTTCTAAGATGAGCATGAATATAATTAAAGCCCATATAAAGAGAGGTACCGGGGGCCAAGTTACTTTACTAAAAGATTTTTTATATGTTTGTTTGTGTCTGTTTATGTTTTTGAGAAGTATTGGTGAAACCTTTTAGAAGCACAGAAAGAGAATGACGATAATCAAGTCAGAAAGAAATAGAGGACAAGAGATGTTTTTATGCTTATTTAGAAATGGTTTAAAATAGAATTGTATTGTATAAGATAAGGTTTTATCTGACTTGTAAAATTTATAATGGAAAAAGGTTCAAATATGTAATGGTTGATGATGATTTGTTTGTTTTTGAAATTAATAAAACTTGTTTAAAAAAAAAAAAAGAATGTAACATTCTAGAAAGAAGCTTCTCTGAAACACACAATAGGACCTGACAGCTATTATATCTGGCTAAAAAGAAAATTTCTTTGTGTGGGAAATGAAAAATTATGGTAATTTATACAAACATAACCTGAACATATTAAATAATTAATATATGATTACTTCCCTAGTCGATCTACTGATGAATAGTTTCCAATTATTCATGCTTTTTCATATATGCATATAGTTAAATGAAACAAGCAAATGAATGAAATGAAATGACAATGAAATAACATTAAGCAATTTTTAAAAAATCAAGTAGCTTTTATTAAATTATTATAATCTTGAAAACTTTGGGTTGGTGAAGTCTTAATAATTCAAAATAAGCATCTTGACCTTACCTTACTGTTTCAGATTTTTTTTAAAAAACTGTGTGCATATTATTGAAGCTTAATATACATCATGTGAAACAAAAAATAACAAAAATCTACATTTTTAAAACAGCACTTTTAACATGCATGGCAGTTAAAATATAATCCATGCAAATAAGATCTGAAATCAATGAAAGACAACCTTTTCCATGTTGAAAAAGAACTATAATTTAAAAATGATAGGTCTGGAATATTTTAGCTTGTGGGGAAAAAGTGATCAAGACTTGGACAAAAATAATAAGAATTTCACCAACTGTTCCCAATACTTAACATTTCTACCCAAATTAATTTTCAGTAATAACTCTTGTAAATTGTTAAATGACAGATTTTGATAACAACTACAGAGCAGTTCAGTAGCTTCATGGTTTCATAATTGAAACCATTACCTTTTAAAGAAACACAAGACAAGTACACAAATAACTCTGCAGGAATTTACTGTTCACTAGTCTCAAATAACAGGAAAAAAACATACGACTCACCTGTTGAGAAAACAGTTGTGGATGTAATTGGATTTGTTGTTCTCTAATGTGCTTTACTTCCTGTGGCAATGTTTCAACTTCATGGATGGCTTCTAGAGTAACCTTCTGGGGCAGGACTTGGAAAAGTGATGTCACATACATCAAGATGGATTTCTTGTCAGGATAAGTTGTTGCAACATCTGCATATGCACATTAAACATACAAAAATTTACACTGTTTATAAGACTTCATAGAAAGAGGTTCCTAACTAATTCATTTTTCATTTAATAGAATATAATTCTTTATTGGCCAAGTGTGATTGGACACACAAGGAATTTCTCTTGGTGCAAATGCTCTCTGTATACATAAAAGAAAAATGTGACACGCCTTTTCATTTAAGTTGACGGTAAACTAAAAACTTAATAGCCATAAAGGATCATGCCAAGGCCGAGCTTAACAATGTGTTCACAGATGCTTCTGGGACATTTGCAAACAGAAGAATACTCATTTCCTGCCTTTCTTCCCTAGCTAGGGTTTGCAGCCATGTTGTTCTGAATCTGATGTAAGAATGACTTTTCAGAACTAAAGAATTTGTAAAATGTAAAATCTATTATTATGGTCCTTTTCATGCCCCCAGATATAATCTGTGTATATACCGTTGTTGTTCTTTAGCACTATTTACTGTAGTGGCCAGGGCCAACACCAGTCTATATTGTTTGGAAGCTGACACGACCCCTTTAAGACTCATCTACCCATTAACCCTCACTCCCAAAACAAGTGCATCCTGGGAAGCCAGACTCCATTTCCCCTAGCATTCAGAAAGAAACAGAAGCAACAGGAAAAATCCAGCCTAATCCATGGCCCATGTTCATCTGAGGACAAAAATCCACATCCCATACACACAGCATCGCTGGTGAGATTTAGATTTATCTGTACTTGCTAACTGTTATGCTCACCAGCAACTCAACACTGCTTATTTTGTATTTGAGTTCTTATTGTATGTATTTTTATTTTTCCCAGTTTCACCCATCCTTTTCCTTTAATAAAGCATCCAGATCTACGCACATGGTCTGTTTTATTGGGGGATAGGTGGATTTAGCTGCCTTCCCAAGCTGCACACAAAGTAACATGTAGCAAGGGCAGAACAGTCCTAAACCAGTGTAAGGGGGTACGTAAAAAGCATAAAAGATGCAGCAGAGTCTTAAAAAAGGAAAATAAAAACTAGAAAATATTAAAACAGAAAGTATATATAGTATAAATGCCTATAAGAATCTAAAACAAAAAATATGAGCATTATATTGGTGTAGGGGAAGATAAAAAGATTAGTATGTGCAAGACTATATCAATGACAGAGCACTCTCATATGGTGAAGTAGGTAGTCATTGAGTTTAGTTTATTGCACAGGACATCTGATAAATTTTGAGCCCTGATGCACAGAACTGGCAACCTTGTATGCTTTAGTAGTCTTGGTAATTCAAAACAACAGGGAAATGTAGCCTGTGTACCCTGTGCATTTATGCAATAATGGTCACTTCATTGCTTGACCCAATGATCTAGCATTTTGAGAGAGAAAAATCTCCTTTGTTCACTTTCCCCATGCCACAACTGATTTATGTACTTTACTCATAACTAATCTCAGATGCCTTTTTAAAAAGCTATTGTAACAAATATTTAAGGTCTCCCCACCCCCAATGACTTGACTTTTGATTACTGGTATTGTGCTCTTCTAAACCTTTTTTGGCTCTCTTGCAGTCTTTTCCCACTGAAGCTGGCAGGATTGTAAACTGTTCAGATATTTGTAAAAGGGCAATACTACATTGGCCCATTTCAGTCTGAAATTTCTATTGAAGTATACTATCCAGCATGATCCCAAGTTCTTTTTTGTGGTTTGTTACAGTTCAAAACTCTCACTGCATTTGAAAATTTAGGGTATGTTAACCCAAAGTACCTCATTTTAAACTTAATTGAAAAACATTTACCATTTGATGACCATTCACCTAATTTAAAAAGAACCTTCTTGAACTTTTCTCAATCACTTCAGAGACTAGTATTTTTCACAAATATTACCTAGCAAATAGATTACTAATAGATTAATTAAGATTATAAACCAGATATCCCGAGATATACAGTATGCTCAAGGGACTCCATTTCTTACTTTTTTGGGGGGGTCCATTTATTTTGCTTTATGCTTTTAATTATTAACAATAAGCGCAAAGAAAAATCCTCTTAATTTATCACCACTATGTTCATTCAAGAGCTTTTCTTAACATCAGCAATTGCAAAGTAGAAGAAGGGCAAATGATACATAATGTTGAAGGGACATAATAGTAGAATAGTTACAATTAATGGGATATAATAGTAGAGTCAGTAGAATTGGTTTGACTTGCTGCTTTGCTTCTGTAAGAATTACTTTGCCTCTGTCATAATTTCTGTTATCTTGTTTTTCTGTATCATCCTGAGCCTGGCACCTATCTTAGGTTGAAGCTGCATACGTAGAGGACACATATGGGGGTACCTTGTTATAGTTCACACCACAGCTCTAACTTATACCTTTGATCTGTCTTGCTAAGCACGGTCAATGCAGGGCTATAAGGAAGGCATGGACCAGGAGGCCAGAATTGGGTACTAGGCTGATATCTCTGAAGATATAAAAGTATGCCATGGCTTTCCCAAAATGTGGCTTTTTTCCTTGCATGCTTTCTGCTTATATGCAGTGAAAAATTGTCCACCCAGGATTTTGTTTTGCAAAATAAAAACTGTTACACTTCAAGCCTCTTCTTGAGTCTCTCTCTTTGGCATTCTGGTGACTCAAGTACATTTTGGGATGTTACAATGTCATAACACAAACATCAGGATGGAAGCACTAAAAGTCAAATCTTGAACTGTGACTTTTTTGTTATCATGTTGTAGAAAGCCCCCCCCCCCCCCCAAATTAAAATATTGTTTGTTCTTAATATTAAAAAGAGCCGGGATTTCCCCTAAAGGAGAAATTGAGACAAATCTTAACAAAGGCAGAAAGCAGCCCCAGTCTTCCTGCTATAGGAAAACAGCATCAAGCAGAAGCATGAAGAGGCCAATTTTTAGGAGATTTTTGTATCCATTCAGAAAGATTAGATCACTCTATTCATAAGCAAAGAGCAAACAGAGACTTCAAATAAGCAACACAATTAGGCAAGCTCAAAATTGACAAGATTAGCTGAGACAAACACCTAGGATTTGCATTTCCCCTTTTGCCTGTAGAGCCAGCCATGACCCCTACATAGGAATCTGGCAACATCCATTAGAACATTAAAGGAGATGTTCTTGCATAAGAAAAGGCAATCTCAATCACGAGGCCTCAAATAATTTATAAAACACCATTTATCTCAACCCCATTTTGTCAGCAACCCCAGAATCATGCTACTTTCACTGAAGTTTATTTGGAAACCAAATAAACAGAGGCCTTCTTTCCTGCAGCCAGCCTCCATTTTATTTCCAGTGGTTTTCCCGGCTTGGAACCAGACTGGATTTTTATTTCAACAATTTTCCTGGTCAGGCAACACTTTACCAAATGTCCTTAAAAATTTAATTAATGGATGTTACATCCAAAGTGAAACCAAATACATAAATAAATGGCTCGTTTAAGCATTTATGTGTTTTCTTGACTGCTATTTTAATGTCTTTTTTGTTGCTTTTAACTGGTTGTTTTTTACTGTTTTTATTCTGTTTCAACTGTGAGATGCCCAGAGTCATAAATATGAAACAGGTGGCTTATAAATCTACTAAATAAATAAGAAAGCAACAATTAAGGAAAGAAAAAAAAACCCTATTCCTTCATAAGTCCTATATATTTTCTCATTCATAATTATTATTCTTTCAGCGTTTAAATACAAAAAATACTTATTCACAATAATAATCTTATACGTAGCCAAACAAGATTAATATTTTATTTGAAAGATTATACAGTGTATATAAATAACTGAAGAAGTTATATCAGTCTAATTTAAATGTTAGCAGTTGGTATTAGAGATGAAAAGAAAAAGAAATGAACTGAATTTGGGTGTAATATATTGATAAGAACTGCATCCAAATTCATATATCCACTAAATGATGAAATTGTCAGCATTTCAGAAAAACTCGACTCTAACAAATAATTCCAAACCAGACATGTTCTCAAAATTCCCTTTTATTAGCATAGTAAACTGGCACATCTGGGAAATCCTGAATCTGAAAGTCCTGGGTTTCCCTCCAATAAGTAAAATATTACAAATCCACCCCCTGCCCCCATCATTCCATCACATGCCCCAATCACCATCTGTCTCAACTTGAGACGTCCCCTCTACTACTCCTCAGCCAGGTGCTGGAACAACATGACCTTGACTCTAAAGAAGAATGCTATTATGTCTAACCACATACAGTCTATGAAATTTCCCCCTCCCATCTTCCCAGGCTCAAGAATGTGGCAGCGTGGAAGCTTCTGGTGCTAATATGGCTTCCAAAGCTGACAGGCATCTCCCTTTGAAAAAAATTACATCCTGAAAAATACAATAAACAAAACACAACAAGGGATTAACGCATTGTCACCAATCCACTTAACCCCCCCTCCCCTCCCCAAGGGGACCCTTTGGCTTGTTGGGGAACTTGTCATGGAATTGCTTAACCAATCTATCTGTGTGTACATCCCAACTTTTCACCCAAGTAGCTTCTGAAAGAGTAGCCTTTCCATAGTACTAAATATTGTAATCGTCCTCTGTGTAATCTAGAGTCGAGGATTTTCTTGATTTCATAATGTGTGTCACCTTGTACTACTAAAGGTTTGGGGGGAGCTGCTGGTATGGGTCGTATATTGGAACCAACAGCAGGCTTTAACAAGCTGCTATGGAACCAAGGGAGCTAAGTTGAACAGTAACTGGATTGATTACTTTCAATATGGGAAAGTGATCCAGGAATTTAGGTCCCAGTTTTTTAATAGGAAGCTTCAACTTAAGATATTTAGTTAACAAAAACACTTTATCACTCACCTTAAAAGGTGGTTGGAGAGATCTATGTTTGTCTGCTTGTTTTTTATATTCTTCAGCTGCTTCTGTTAGAGATTTTTTTTCGTATTCTCCCAACCTTTTTTTAATGAGTCCATCCAATCCGTTAAGGACATATACGTTGGGGGTTCTCTGGGTAACACAGGCATAGGAACAAAGTCCATGCTGGTAGTTATTTGGGAAGG